GTTCTCTAGGGATAACTTACTAATTACCTTTTCTAAAGTATACGAGTATTTTTCTATAATTTAACTTAAGATCTTAAGAAATTTAATAAAAGACTTAGATTACTATAAACATATAAAAAGATATTAACACTATAAAAAGCTAATAGCCTCTAAGTAAATTATTATTCTACTTAAAAGATTTCTGTTCTTTAATATAGTAGGATTTAGAACTTACATCCAGCTTCTAATAGTTATTATAAAAGCTTTATGTTTAATTTATTTATTTATAAAAGAATAGTGTTACTAAGCTAGTTACTAGACAACCTATAAATATCTAAGCTTAACTAGTTATAGAGAGATTTAATATCTATAGTAGATTAACTAGATCTACTTAACTTAAAAAAACAATAATTTAATTATTATTTTACTAATGCGTTTATAAAGTCTAAACAGAAATATTTTTTATATCTTAACCCTAATAGACTTAGAGTAAGTAGTATAATTAATACTTTAATAATTATAAATTAAGTAAAAACTAATACTGTTATTATACTTAGATTCTAATAGCGAGCTAAAAGATCTTGCTTTACTAAATTAGAATTATTAATGTATCTTTATTATAGTATAAACTTTTAGTACCTAAATAAGCGCTTTATAAATCTTATAAAGGTTCTGTTAAGAGATGTTTACTATATACTAGAAACTAATATAGAAATCCTGAACTAGTAATTTAATATTATATATATAACACAACTTTTTAATCTAAAGTCCTAAACTATTCTACCTATTAACTACTACTAAACTGCTAGCTTATTTTAAGCTTTAAGATTAAGTACCTTTAAATTTCGTTAAACTTAAAAAAACTTAAGGACTTCTACCTAGGTAAGTTTAAATTAAAAGAATTTTAGGTACTAGCAAGTAAGTTTAGCGTCTTTATTAACTAGAAATAGCTTAAGAACAATTTAGGTCCTACTTAGTAGCTTTAATAGGTTAAGTCGTTTATTATATACTTAACACTAGAATTTAAATTAACCTTTAATAGATTACCTAAAATCTTTATTATCTTTATTATTTTTTTTTTTTTAGATTTATAGCGTATTTATGCTTGTAGTACAGGCAGATAGACGCAACATAGTAAAAATCTAATATAGTAACTTAGTGTAGAAGCTAATACCTAGCCTCTTTTTGCATAGTAAATATTAGTAGGAGTATATAGTAAAGGTAATAGAGAGCTAATTAGTATACTATCTCTTAACAGCTAGCTACTTAATATACTAATATAGACGCATATTTAGGAGCCTAAGTAGCTATTAGTTAAAGTTTAGTTTACTTATAAACCTTAGTTTATTATTATAAACTATAGCTAGGTTATAAAAACTTTTTAATTAACTAGTAATCCTAAATATTTAATAAGTAGCTTTAGAGGAGGTCTAGGTAATAATAGTTTATATAAGTAAGCTAGTATATAAAGATCTTTTACACCTTAAGGCCTTTTAACCTATCTCTTATTCTATCTTTAATCTTATCTTACTATAACTAAGATTATATACCTATAATATAACGCTATTACTAAAGCCTAGATATTTAAGTACTATATTCTATAGTACTCTAGCAAGGTATAAATTACTATATATAATTTCTAATACTATTATAGTGCTTTAAATATCTATAGTAAGATTTCTAAGAACCTAACTAGATAGTAAAAGAAGATAGAAAGTATTACTTAGTATAATAGTAATATATTCTATATAAATAATCTAGATATCTAGCAGTACCTTAAAGTTAATAAGAGGCTTAGGGTAAAGCTCTATAAAGTTAAGGTTTAGCTCTTTCTTATATAAGTCTATAAGGCTAATATCCCTAGAGGACAGGGATTAATGTGTTACGTTACTATTGTGTTTTTGTGTACGCGTTTTAATTGTTTATTAGTCTTTATTATTTATACTAACTACAGTAGCTAAAGTTTAACCTAGTTACAACCCTCCGCTTCTTATTACTATTACTATTACTATTACTGTTACTGTTACTATTACTACTACTTCTAGCTTTATCTTTATTCTATATTAATTGTATAGCCCTATAGTAAAGTATTGTACCTGCTAGATTACTACTATAATTCTCTTTTTCTAGGCAGTATACCTAGGATCTATAAAAGCTTACTTAAAGTAGCTCTTATTCTTAGTTAAAGTAGTATTATTACGCTACTAAGTAGTAAGCTTAATAAGTTAGAAAAGCTAGGTATTAAAGAAAGCCCTATTAGTTTTATAGACTTATATAAGGAGGAGCTAAACTTTAACCTTATAAAGCTATACCCTAAGTCTTTTATTAAGCTTAAGGCGCTGTAAGATATCTTTATCTCTTAGGTAGAAGGTATTACTGTTATGCTAAGTAATACCCTTTATTTCTTTTTACTACCTAACTAGGTCTTTAGAAATCTTACTAGAGATATCTAGAGCACTACACTAGTACTAGGAATTACTTGCTTTAATCCTTTACTTATTAGCTTACTATAAAACGCAGCGTAGAAATACCTAGGCTATACTAATAGAGTTATATTGTTAATTAGCTATAATTACAGTTATAAAGAAAAATAAGATAGATAGATAAAGACTTCTAAGGTGTAAAGGATATTTATATACTAGCTTGTTTATATAAACTATTATTGCCTACACCTCTACTAAAGCTGTCCTAGTTATATATTTAGAATTACTAGTTAATTAAAGAGTTTTTATAACCTAGCTATAGTTTATAATATAATTTAGGGTTTATAACTAAACTAAACTTTAACTAATAGCTGCCTAGGCTCTTAAATACGCGTCTGTATTAGTACATTAAGTAGCTAGTTATTAAGAGACAGCTAATTAGCTCTCTGTTACCTTTACTGTATACTCCTACTAATATTTACTATATAAAAAGGGGCTAGGTATTAGCTTCTATACTAAGTTACTATATTAAATTCTTACTATATTGCGTCTATCTGCCTGTACTACAAGCATAAATACGCTATAAACCTAAAAAAAATAATAAGGCTAATATAGCTTTCTTTAATGCCTAGCTCTTCTAACTTAACTAGCTTGCTACTAAGCAGCGTAACAACGCTACTCTAACCCTAGATAAGAGCTGCTTTAAGCAAGCTTATATAATCTTTATTAAAGTAAATAATATAATCTAACATTACTAAAATTTAGAGAAATAATCTTAAAAGTGTTTATATTTAATACGTCTTAAATATAACTATCTATAATTACGAAAGTATTTTAGAAAGTTATACTGCTTCTAGTAATAAAATATAGTATCTAGTTAAGTATAATTAATGTTTTAGATTACTACTATATATTTATTCTGTACGCGTTTTTATTGCTTAGTAGTTCTTCTTGTATAAATATACTTACTGTTATTATTTAGGTTTAATTTAGTTATAATCTATTAGCTCTTGTATTTTGAAATACTATTACTATTACTATTACTATTAGTGCTACTAGCTATCTATATATATCCTTATTCTAACTTAAGTTTATAGTTTTATAATAAAGTTTTATTCTTTTAAACTACTTCTTATAGTTATCTCTAATCAGATAAAATACCTAAAGTCTATTTAAGGTACCTTAAAATATCTATTATTCTTAGTTAAAGTGTTATTCTAATAGTAATTAGAAGTAAGGCTTTTACGTTTATTAAGTTAAGTATTAGATAAAGTTTTATTAGTCTTAGAAACTTATATAAAACAAATCTTTACTAAAACACTAAGAAAATATATAAGAAGCCTTCTATTAAGCTTAAAGTACTAATAAATCTTTATATTTACTAATTAAAAGGTATTACTATTAGACTAAGTAACACTTTTTACTTTCTTTTACTACCTAACTTAGTCTTAAAAGATTTTACTAGAAATATCTAGAGTACTATACTAGTAATAGTTATTACTTACTCTAATCTTCTAATAATTAGTTTAATATAAAGCGCAACGTAAAAACTTTTAAGTTACGCTAATAGAATTACATTATTAGTTAAGTATACCCTTAGTTATTAGTTAAATTAAGTTAATAGTATAAAGGAGCCAACACGGGTCACACGAGATAGATAAGATAAGAGTTAATTCCTCTAAAAAGTAAGATATTGCATAAGGCAAGTATCTTAACGCGTTGAGCAGCTTTGGTGTTCCTGCTGACTCAGCGCCAAGATCACGTGATAGCGGGGTAAGTCACGTGACAGCGGGGCATAGAGGCTCGGATCCATCACACTACCCCCCCCTTCAAAAAGAGCGGCTCCAGCGCTTATAAATCAATCGCTTTTGAACTCTATAACTGTTAACGTCATATACGTAAACAACAGTCGCAAAACATTGTCCGTGTCTGTAACCTAGTCTCCGTTAGGCCCTCTAATCGTACTCCCGCAGGCCGTACGTTGTGTGTCCTCCCTGCTGTCCATAAATGCCAGTCGTAATATGTCCAGTAAGTTATTAATACAGGTAGCTCGCGTAGAGGCTTTGCGGGGGTAGACTGGGGTCTTCGTATAGAGAGCTTCTGGGTTATCTGTCGTAGTTTTCTTTCTGTAAGAGATACATAAATATAGGAAAGGGTTAAATAGTGTAGTTAGTTCGGGTTGCTTTAGCAGGCTTCAGCACTGTCTGCGTTGCCTTCGCCTAACGATCTTTAGCAGAACTAGAGGTTCAGCAAACACTATAAACCCCCCAAAGGCTAAGTCTATAGCCGCTTAACCAACCTCTAGCCCCTAGTACTTTGTCAGGCGTTGGGGTCAGCGTCTAGTGCTTATACCACAGGCTGTTGTGTACAAAGGTATTACCGTCTAGAGCAATAGCGCGTGCGTAGTAAGACAATTAGTAGCAGCTCCCTTCTTAATTACAGTAATGTATGCGTTAAGGTGTAACAAAAGAGCTTGCCAACAGACCATTAGCAGCGTACGTCTTGTCAGGGCGGTTACTTCAGTCGCAGGGACAACAGGTCCTATTTACTAGTTAGTAACTCAAACTTCTTATAAACAGGTAGTTTACTGGGGTACTATTAGTAATAATCATGGACCATATCTAATAACTTAATTATGTTAACGTAGGGTTCCCATAATGGGTTGTCGTTGCCCTCCAGGTAGTTAGCCCATCGCACCAGGTACTGTAGCAGCCCTTTCTTGTATATAGATAGGTTAACCATGCGGCGGTTTACGCGGTAATCCTTAATGCGTTTAACTGCGTACTCTGTCTTGTCGTTAGCTTCAGGGTTAAAGCAAGCTGGTTGTTCCTTGTCGCAAGGTTGCTAGGGGAGCGGTAACTCATTATACAGGTAAAGTAGCTATAGGTAAAACACGTCGTAAACCCAGCTTATGGCGGGTAGTAGCTAGAGCTAGTAAGCGTAGTTACAACTAATAATTTAGATAATCTTGAATAGTCCGCAGTTTTTATAGTTAAGGGAGCAGTTTAGTCGCGTTGTCTACAGGTTACACGCGTTCAGCATAACGTAGTCTCCTACTTTAAACTATAGTAAGGGCAGGCGGTTAGTATTAGCGTATTCTTCTTGCTTTGCAATAGCCCATCTTAGCAAGTCTTATAGTTTGTTGCGCAACGCGTTTATATATTTAACAAACTTGTTAGCTTTAAGCTATTCGCGCTAGGCTAGTCCTAACGCAGCAGTAGTTGGTGTTAGGGGCTCTAGTCCTGCGCAAGGCTTGTAACCTTTAGTTACTAAGAATAGTAAAACGCCTATGCTTGCGCTTATTATTAAGTTTACTTTAAACTTAGCTATAGGCAGGAAGAGAGCTTAATTGTCTTATTTATAGTTAGTATATGCTTATAAGTACTGTTTTAAGTATACATTAGCGTTCTTAGTCTAACTGTTAGTCTCTAGATAATATGCAGTGCTAAATTTTAGGCAGGTTCCTAGACGCTGGCATAGTTAGCGCTAGAAGTATAATATAAACTAGCTGCCTTAATTACTAACTATCTCCTTAAGGTACCCCTCCTCCCTCTATATATACTCTATAAACGCTTAGATAAGTTTGTTAACCTACAGGCTTACTATAGGGATAAACTTCTTCTTCTTAGTAAGCCTATTAATAATAACTAGGATATTTAAGAACGTCCTTCTATTGTATTTATATGGCAGTAAGTAGGTAATAAAGTCTATTAATATGCTTAACTAGTACTTTTATAGGATTAGCAATAGGTGTAGTAAGCTGTGCTTTCTATTCTAGTAGCTCTTGCTTTGTTTATAGATAAGGCAGTTTTAGACGTATTGTGCAACGTCTATTGTTATACAGGGCCAGTAGTACCAGCGTACCAGCCTAGTGTAACTCTAGTGTTTCCTACTATATCCTCTAGCTAACAAATAATAAATCCCATCTAGGATCTTAGTACGTACGTTACTGTAGTTAGGGGTAAAGACCCTGTTCTGGACGTATAAGATGCCGTCTGTATAGCTGCAGTTAGTAAGGTCTAGGCGCAGCTTTTGCGGGCTATAGATAAGGTTGTATAGAATTTGGCAGTGTTCTGCCTTTAAAGCTTTAATAATAGCTTAAATTATTTTATTATAGGTTGTCTCTTGCTTAATAAGCTTAAACAGTTATTCCTAGCTTAAGGGTTCAGCGTCTAGGCTTTGCGCTAGGTAATTAGGGTCTATAGTTTATTCATATTCTGCTTTAGACAGATCTCCTAGCTTGTTATACAGTGCACTAAGTATTAAGGCGCTTTTAGCGTAGGCGTCTGTTACATTATCTTCCTCCCCTAGCTAGTACATTAATAAAGCAATATCTATAGGTAACTTAGGGATGCGGCCAGACTAGCAGTTAGCCAGGTAGATAGCGTAGCGTATACCCCTGTCCTGGTTTAGGCTGATAGTGGCAACGCGTGCGTCTGGGTTAACTTGGTCTAGTTTAATAACCAGCTAAACTTGGTGCTTAGATCTGTTGTTGTTAGCAGATTCAGGTAGGTCACTGGGGCGTCTAGTAAGCGCGTTAGGCTTAGTGCCTTGTACACTAGGTTAGTATTTAATATAGAAGTTAAACTTAGATAGAAACTCTGCCTATCGCGCTTATTAACAGTTAAGCTGCTTTATTGTTATAAACTACTGTAGTGCTTAGTAATTAAAGAGGACTTTAATAGGGTCTTCTGTTCCTAACAGTTTAAATTACTATTCTTTAAAGGCGATAATAATAGCAAGCAGTTCCTTATTATAGATCTTGTAGTTACATTCCGCAGGCGTTATTTTGTAGAACAGAAAGGCAACAGAGCAGAGCACGCTGTTAGTATCCTTCTATAAGAGTACTACAGCCGTAATAAAGTCTAAGGCGTCCGTTTCGAGCTACGTCTTAAGATTAGGGTTAAAGTGTACAAGCATTCTAGCGGTGTTAAATGCAGCTTTTAGTTATTTAAATAACTTTATTATAGCTAATCCTAGCTCTAGCGGGAAAAGCTTACGTAGTTTATCTGTTTTATAGGTAAGTACAGTAAGGCCCTTAGCAATAGTTAAGAAGCCTTTAATAAATTAATAATAGAAGTTCGCAAATCCTAGGAAAGACTAGATGTCCTTAACACTACAGGGAAGCTTCTATTCTATTACTATAGCAACCTTAGCGGGGTCTATCTTAATACCCTCTGTAGTAAGGATAAGTCTAAGGTATTTAACACGCTTAACTTTAAATTTGCACTTTGTTGGGTTAAGGTATAGTCTAGCGTCTTTAAGTTTTCGCAAAACTTGGAGTACGTATCGCTCATAGTCTTGCTTATTCTCACTATAGATAAGCACGTTATCTAGGTATACTGTGTAGATCTTGTCTAGGTGTTTACGCAGTGTCTTATTAATAAAGGTTTAGAATGTGCTAGGCGCATTACAGAGGCTAAAGGGTATAACAAGGTACTTATAGAGCCTATATCTAGTTATAAATGCAGTTTTCTCTTTATCCCCTTTAGCTATGCAAACAGTGTTAAAGGCTGCTACAACGTTAACAATGCTTATTAGCTTAACTTTTGCTATATAGGCTAAAGTTTCCTTAATAGCAGGAGGGGCGTTGCAGTTCTTCTTAGTAATAGTATTAAGCTAATAGTAGTTAACGCAAATGTATAGGCCTCCCCCTAGCTTTTTTACAACTAGTACTAGTGCTGCGTATAGGGATATACTTAGTTAGATAAACCCTTTACCTATTATATCGTTAATGTATATCTTAATAGCTTCTGTCTTAGGTTATATAAGGCTGTAGATCTTTAGCTTTAGCGGCAACGCTCCTTCTATAGGAATTGCGTAATCTATACCTTATTAATAGGGCGGTAATTTGTTAGCTATCCAGGGGTTAAACAGGTCCTTTATCTCTAAGTATATCTAGTTAGGTATTAGGGCCTTGATTTAGTCCTCTGTTATATACAGCTGTTCTATCTTATCTATATACTTATCGTAGTCTAATTATAAGATAGCAGTGAGTTAGGTAATAGAGTTACAGAATACGTCCGCATTAAGGTTAGAGTAGTTTAGTAAATAGTTTTTAAGGCAGTTCTAATAGTAAGGTTTAATCTATACTACCTCTTTAGGGTTGTATAGGGCTATAGCGTAGGCAGCGTTAGCACTAATTAGGGACACGTTTCCCAGTAGTGCAAGTACACGCCGCAACTTACTATTAGAAGCGCGGTTATTATATATAGCTTTAGGAATACCTTAATACAGGCAGTTAAGTGTATAGTAGGGGGACGCAAATATTATAAAATAAGAGGCGCCGAATCCTATAGTAGGCTGGTGTTTATCTAGCTAGTTTATACCTAGGATTACGTTATACTTCCTAATGTTTATAACGTAATAGAGTACAGTTAAAGTGTAAGATCCGTGTCTTATAGTAAGGTTAATAGTATTAGTAAGTTTACCTACGTCGCCTCTATCTGTAAGTAAGAGTTTAATAGGTTTGTATAGTTTAAGCGTTTTAAGTTACTATTATTTTACCTACGTTTAATTCATGAAGTAGGCGCTTACTCTAGTATCTACTAGGCTTACTGCTTTTCTATTCTTGTTATTAACTGTAACGCAACAGTTAAAGTCTAGTTAGAAGGCAGGGTTAAGTATAGTAGTAGTAGTATTAATAGCAGCAACTAAGGCGTAGTAGTGCCCATAAGGAGTGTCGCCGGTTGCGTAGAGCTTTATTGCAGCAACTTTAAGCCGTTAGTAGTATTTAGTAATCTGCCGGGAGTTACTGCATACTTTACACCATTTTTACTCCTATACATAGTTTTACTTAGGAGCTAATAAAAATGTAACAAGTTAACTACATAGCTGTTATTATTATAGAAGTCCTCTAACGCGTTTATTGCGTTAAGCAAGGCCTCTTCCTCCTCTGTCTTAGAACCTTTGTTATCTGTAGCTTGGGTAGTGTCGTAATTAGCGTTAATAGTGTTAAGGTTAAGTCTATAAATCTAATTAAAGGGTTTTAGTTTGCAGTTAACGCCTTTGTTAGTTACTTAATATTTCTAACTACTATATTTATAGTAGGTACAATTCTTTTATAGCTTCTTACGTTATTTATCTATTTAACTAAAAGCGTTCGTGCAGCGTAACTAGTTTAAGGCAGGGGCCTAATTGCGGGGTATAGTGTTAAAGCTATTATTATTGCGCAGATTTGTTATTTTACGTATAGGCTGTACTTGGGATGCAGAGCCTTTTAACTATTATCCTATGTTAATCTCTGTTTAATTAAGCTCCTGTTTATAGGCACAGTTAAGGAATTAGGTAAGCGTCTCTCCCTAGGTAGAGCCTATAGAGGCCTTAGAGGCGAGTTAGGGGTTTATTAAGCTATAGGCTTTAGCAATAAGCTTAGCTTAGTCTTTAGTATTTAGCACTGCTATTACCTTTATAAAGCGCATCTTCTATATTATAAAGGATTCTCTAGGTTTATACTTACAGGATCTATCTTAGAGCTTTATACAGGCTTTAATAATACGCTTATATATCTCACAGCCCTAGTATAGGTTAAGCGCCTTTAGCAAGTCTTTAAAGTAATACGCAGATTTAGCTTCTTCCTTAATAAGATCTTAGGCGTAGCCTATAATCTTTTACTTAAGGTACATAAGAGCGTAATATTTATTAAGGATAGTACTACACTTGCGCGTTGCATTATAACGCCATTTATTATACGTCTTCTTGTCTTCTCTATCCTATACTTTAATATTGGGAAGCTTAAAAGTAACAGCGTAGGCTGTACTCCTATACATAAGCGCAGGAGTAAGTTCTTATAGAGTAGACTGTCGCTAGAATTGGTTACTAAGGTAGTCTTATTACTTGCGTTCAGGGCTTTAAGGTGGGGAAACGTTAAACAAGCTAGGCGGGAGACCTGCAGTGTTTACTGTGCAGACTAGTAGTCAGCCTTGTCTAGCGATGGGGGAGAGCATGTTGTGTTAGCTGCAGTCATTATCTTGCAAAGAGCCTGTTTCAAAGTTTTGTCCCAGGATTTGTCGGTCTCTATACGTAGGAATGTAGGTCTGCAGATAAGAAACAGCGTCCTTATAGTTTTGTTAAAGGCCCTTGCACTTATTATCCTTGTTAGCGTACCGCTCTTTAGTTTATTCAAGCTAGAGTTACATTGCAGCGCAATCTGTATCAGAGTTCTGTTAGTCTATAAAGAATTAGTCTGCCTTCTTCTTTTATATTGTATACTAACCATTAACCTTAGTAACTTAGTTTATTAGGACAGTAACTTATAAGCGTAAGTTATTTACGTTAGCTTTAGAGTCCTCTAGTTACTTTAGCAGGCTTACAACGTTGTTGCTGTTTGTATTACCTATATCTTA